GCGATATTAGCGATCACGGGAGAACATTAATAACGTTTTCTCGTTATTAACGACCACGGGAGAACGATAATAACGTTTTCGCGTTATTAGCGATCATTGGAGAACGTTAATAACGTTTTTGCGTTATTGGCGATCACGGGAGAACCTTAATAACGTTTTCGCGTTATTAGCGATCACGGGAGAACCTTAATAACATTTTCGCGTTATTAGCGATCACGGGAGAACTTTAATAACGTTTTCGCGTTATTAGCAATCGCGGGAGAACGTTAATAACGTTTCCGCATTATTAACGATCACGGAAGAACCTTTATAATGTTTCCGCATTATTAGCGATCACTGGAGAACGTTAATAACGTTTTCGCGTTATTAGCGATCACGGGAGAACGTTAATAACTTTTTTCGCGTTATTAGCGATTACGGGAGAACGTTAATAACGTTTTCTCGTTATTAATGATCACGGGAGAACGATAATAACTTTTTCGCATTATTAGCGATCACGGGAAATCCTTAATAACGTTTCCGCGTTATTAGCAATCACGGGAGAACGTTAATAATGTTTTCGCGTTATTGGCGATCACGGGAGAACCTTAATAAAGTTTTCGCGTTATTAGTGGTCACGGGAGAACCTTAATAACGTTTTCGCGTTATTAGCGATCACGGGAGAACGTTAATAACGCTTTCGCGTTATTAGCGATCACGGGAGAACTTTAATAACGTTTTCGCGTTATTGGCGATCATGGGAGAACGTTAATAACGTTTTCGCGTTATCGGCGATCACGTGAGAACGTTAATTACGTTTTCGCGCTACTAGCGATCACGGGAGAACGTTAATAACGTTTTTGAGTTATTGGCGATCACGGGAGAACGATAATAACGTTTTCGCCTAATGAGCGATCACGGGAGAATCTTAATAACGTTTTCGCATTATTAGCGATCACGGGAGAAACTTAATAACGTTTCCGCGTTATTAGCGATCACGGGAAAACGTTAATAACGTTTACGCGTTATTGGCGATCACGGGAGAACCTTTATAATGTTTTCGCGTTATTAGCGATCACGGGAGAACGTTGATAACGTTTTCGCGCTACTAGTGATCACGGGAGAACGTCAATAACGTTTTCGCGTTATTAGCGATCATAGGAGAACGTTAATAACGTTTTCGCGTTATCGGCGATCACGTGAGAACGTTAATTACGTTTTCGCGCTACTAGCGATCACTTGAGAACGTTAATAACGTTTTTGCGTTATTGGCGATCACGGGAGAACCTTAATAACGTTTTCGCGTTATTAGCGATCACGGGAGAACTTTAATAACGTTTTCGCGTTATTAGCAATCACGGGAGAACGTTAATAACGTTTCCGCGTTATTAACGATCACGGGAGAACCTTTATAATGTTTCCGCGTTATTAGCGATCACGGGAGAACCTTAATAACGTTTTCGCGTTATTAGCGATCACGGGAGAACAATAATAACTGTTTCCTCTAATTAGCGATCAATGGATAACCTTAATAACGTTTTCGCGTTATTGGCGATCACGGGAGAACTTTAATAAGGTTTTCGCGTTATTGGCGATCGCGGGAGAACCTTAATAACGTTTCCGCGTTATTAGCGATCACGGGGGAACGTTAATAAACTTTTCGCGTTATTAGCGATCACGGGAGAACCTTAATAACGTTTCCGCCTTATTACGGTTCCCGGGAGAACCTTAATAAGGTTTTCGCCTTATTACGGTTCCCGGGAGAACTTTAATAAGGTTTTCGCCTTATTACGGTTCCCGGGAGAACCTTAATAAGGTTTTCGCCTTATTACGGGTTCCGGTAGAACTTTAATAAAGTTTTCGCCTTATTACGGGTCTCGGGAGAACCTTAATAAGGTTTTCGCCTTATTACGGGTCTCGGGAGAACCTTAATAACGTTTTCGCTTTATTAAGGGTCTCGGGAGAACCTTAATAAGGTTTTCGCCTTATTACGGGTCTCGGGAGAACCTTAATAACGTTTTCGCTTTATTAAGGGTCTCGGGAGAACCTTAATAAGGTTTTCGCCTTATTAAGGATCCCGAGAGAACCTTAATAAGGTTTTCGCCTTATTACGGGTCCCGGGAGAACATTAACAAGGTTTTCGCCTTATTACTGGTCTCGGGAGAATCTTAATAAGGTTTTCGCCGTATTACGGGTCCCGGGAGAACCTTAATAAGGTTTTCGCCTTATTACGGGTCCCGGGAGAACGTTAATAAGATTTACGCTTTATTACGGGTCGTGAGAGAACCTTAATGAGGATTTCGCCTTATTAATGGTCTCGGGAAAACCTTAATAAGGTTTTCGCTTTATTAAGGGTCTCGGGAGAACCTTAATAAGGTTTTCGCCTTATTAAGTGTCCCGGGAGACCATTAATAAGGTTTTCCCCTTATTAAGGTTTCCGGGAGAACCTTAATAAGGTTTTCGCCTTATTACGGTTCCCGAAAGAACCTTATTAAGATTTTCGCCTTATTACGGTTCCCGGTAGAACCTTAATAAGGTTTTCGCCTTATTACGGTTCCCGGGAGAACCTTAATAAAGTTTTCGCCTTCTTACGGGTCTCGGGAGAACCTTAATAAGATTTTCGCCTTATTAATGGTCTCGGGAAAACCTTAATAAGGTTTTCGTTTTATTAAGGGTCTCGGGAGAACCTTAATAAGGTTTTCGCCTTATTAAGGGTCACGCGAGAACATTTATAAGGTTTTCGCCTTATTAAGGTTCCCGGGAGAACCTTAATAATGTTTTCGCTTTATTAAGGGTCTCAGGAGAACCTTAATAAGGTTTTCGCCTTATTAAGGGTCCAGAAAGAACCTTAATAAGGTTTTCGCCTTATTACGGTTCCCGGGAGAACCTTAATAAGGTTTTCGCCTTATTACGGTTCCTGGGAGAACCTTAATAAGGTTTTCGCCTTATTACGGGTTCCGGGAGAACCTTAATAAAGTTTTCGCTTTATTACGGGTCGTAAGAGAACCTTAATAAGGATTTCGCCTTATTAAGGGTCTCGGGACAACCTTAATAAAGTTTTCGCCTTATTAAAGTTCTCCCGAGACCCGTAATAAGGCGAAAACCTTATTATGGTTCTCCCGGAACCCGTAATAAGGCGAAAACCTTATTAAGGTTCTCCCGGGAACCGTAGTAAGGCGAAAACCTTATAAAAGTTCTCCCGGGACCCGTAATAAGGCGAAAACCTTATTAAGGTTCTCCCGAAACTCTTAATAAAGTTTTCGCCTTATTACGGGTCTCCGGAGAACCTTAATAAGGTTTTCGCCTTATTAAGGGTCTCGGGAGAACCTTAATAAGGTTTTCGCCTTATTACGGTTCCCGGGAGAACCTTATTAAGGTTTTCGCTTTATTACGGTTCCCGGGAGAACCTTAATAACGTTTTCGCCTTATTACGGTTCCCGGGAAAACCTTAATAACGTTTTCGCCTTATTACGGTTCCCGGGAGAACATTAATAAGGTTTTCGCCTTATTAAGGGTCTCGGGACAACCTTAATAAGGTTTTCGCCTTATTACGGTTCCCGGGAGAACCTTAATAAGGTTTTCGCCTTATTACGGTTCCCGGGAGAACCTTAATAAGGTTTTTGCCTTATTAAGGGTCTCGGGAGAACATTAATTAGGCGAAAACCTTATTAAGGTTCTCCCGGGAACCGTAATAAGGCGAAAACTTTATTAATGTTCTCCCGGAACCTGTAATAAGACGAAAACCATATTAAGGTTCTCCCGGGAACCGTAATAAGGCGAAAACCTTATTAAGGTTCTCCCGGGAACCGTAATAAGGCGAAAACATTATTAAGGTTCTCCCGGGAACCGCAATAAGGCGAAAACCTTATTAAGGTTCTGCCGGGAACCTTAATATGGCGATAACCTTATAAATGTTCTCCCGTGACCCTTAATAAGGCGAAAACCTTATTAAAGTTCTCCCGAGACCCTTAATAAGGTTTTCGCCTTATTACGGGTCCCGGGAGAACCTTAATAAGGTTTTCGCTTTATTACGGGTCGTGAGAGAACCTTAATAAGGATTTCGCCTTATTAAGGGTCTCGGGACAACCTTAATAAGGTTTTCGCCTTATTAAAGTTCTTCCGAGACCCGTAATAAAGCGAAAACCTTATTAAGGTTCTCCCGGAACCCGTAATAAGGCCATAACTTTATTAAGGTTCTCCCAGGGACCTTAATAAGGTTTTTGTGTTATTAAGTATTTCCCGAGACCCTTAATAAGGTTTTCGCCTTATTAAGGTGCTCCCGAGACCCTTAATAAGGCGAAAACCTTATTAAAGTTCTCCCGAGATTTTTAATGCATGTTAACATATACTTCCTTAAAGGTGCATTTCATTGACGCTAGAAATCAGTGGCAAATTAAAATTACTAGACTTTCTCTAGGTTCGGCGTCAATAAAATAAAGTTCAGACAGTTTTAACTTTTTCAGCGTGTCGCAAAATTCAAGTGTAATAATGTGTAATTGTGTGTCTGTTCTTTTTAGCTGCACTTTTACACTAGTGCAATTAGTTAGACTGAAAGATAGTATGTTTGTCTCGCATATTTTGCCGCTACTTCTCTTTCCATTAGGACAAGCGGCAAATTTAGTCACTAGATCCCCATTTGCCGCTGGTTTCTATCGTCAATGAAAAGGCCGCTTAAGGATACGGTCACATAAACGGATATTTTCCGCGTTAAGGCCGCAGCACACACTTTTGTACAAGCGCATAATCATAAGCATAAGAAAATTGATTGGTTCATTTTATGCATATACTTGGGGACCAATCAATTTCCTTATGCTTATGGTTATGCGCTTATGCAAAAGTGTGTGCTGCGGCCTAATCGAATATTATGTAAATCAATATGGCGACTTAATACTCGAGGCTCATTAGTCCATATGATCTTATGCTATGCATATGTAGCTATGCAATTTTGTGTGTGATGGCCTTCATTTGTCAGTTTTTTTATGACCTTACGGTTACGACTAAAATTTTTGTACGTGCAAAGGCCTTTAAAATAGTGAAGCGGAAGGCATCTTTAAATTTATAAACTCTATGGATGAAAGAGGCTTCAACGGCTTTCTCTCAGCGCCGTTTTGGCGCATATGCGTTGATCAGCGGAACTAAAATATTGAATCGTACCTTTTCGTGTGATGTGTTGATGATGATCTGAAACATCTTTGCTAAATATAATGCGCGTATTTTCATACGATATATGGAAAAAATGTTCGCATAGTATCGTTCAATAAAATCTAGTGGAGAAATAATAATTTCATTATTTAAATAATTAAAATCGAAAAATTCGTGGTACATTATTCGACATGGATAGAAGAAAAATGTCGTAAGTGAAGAATGTCGTGACATTAAAGACGCTCGATGCTATAACTGTGATGGCTGCTTATACATCTTATCGGTTTTTATCGTCACATTTGCCTTGTTAGATTCGTTGAATATAGATGCACTTGTTTCTTTCGAAGAGAAGTGACAAGCAGTAACCTAGATGAAATTCATACTTTAAAACTTTTTTCTTTTTACCGGTTGTTACTTATATATTGTCAAAAGTAAAGATTTTATAAACGAAAAAAAGTCGTGCACATTACTCAGGTTGAACAAAGTTTATTATAAATTTCTACATACAAGCGTTATGAGATTGTCACACATAAAGAAATCATGAATTAAAATTGTAAATTTGACTCTATTTAATACAGTTGATAGGTTATCAGAGTCTGAATGAATATGTATTTTTATAATTTTTTTCTATAATCTTTCAGTCTTTCTATATTCATATATTTCCTTTATTCATATTTGACGCACTATCAAGATTGTAGCTTAAATGTTAAAAGGCAAAATTTGACAGTTTTTTTAATTAATCTAACTTTTCTATGTTTCGAAGTAATAATATAAACGAATATTATCATACACTTAATTAACAATCGAAAGTTAAAAAATATATTGTATAAAATTTATAAGTTAAGAAATCTGTATTTTGATTTTTATGTCTATTTATAGTACAGCAGGGGATTCCCTCTACCAAATTTTGGAAATCCCAAAAACTGCCACTTCGGAGGAGATTAAAAAAACGTATAGAAGATTGGCTCTGAAATATCATCCTGATAAAAATCCTAATAATCCGGAAGCAGCTGAAAAGGTAATGTTTTTAAATTTATCAAATCTAAATCAATTATAATCAAATATAAATATTTTTAGTAAATGTACATATATTTTTTCATATTCATAAATTGTTCTTGAAAACAATTTATCTGTATTAATAATTCAAGGTATATAGGTATATTAATAATTAAAGGTTTAAAGAATAATTTTAAAGTTTTTGAAGTAATTTTACAGGTAATTCTAATATTTATAATTTTCTCGCACATAACGGATTTTAAATATTTAAATATAAAATATATTATTATTCAAGTTTTTCAGTTTCTCTTTGTATTTATTGTATTGATACTATATATATATATATATATATATATATATATATATATATATATATATTGATACAACTTTAATTTATAATTTAAATTTACAAGCGAGTACAATACTTTATAGTTATATTATATTTTTATTACAGTTTAAAGAAATAAATAGAGCGCATGCTATACTGACAGATTTAACAAAACGTAATATATATGATAATTATGGATCTCTGGGTCTATATGTTGCGGAGCAGTTTGGAGAAGAAAATGTTAATGCTTACTTTGTTGTCACCTCTGGATGGTGTAAGGTAAGAGTAAGGATTAATTTGGCAAATGTCTCTTTTAACAAAATAACTTTGTATATTTTATGCTTTTTAAAATAGGAGAGTATCAAGTATTTATTATATGTGTGAAATATTTTATACATAATTTATTTTTAAATAGATGCATAAAACACATATGTGTAAAATATATTATGTAAGATAATGTTAAGAATATTATCATGAACTTATTCTTCAGAATGAATAATTTGATAATTGCATTGAAATATATGCAATTTTTAGTGATTAAGAATAGTAAATATTTAAACATTATAATTATATCTAATTACAGGTATATAATTTGTTTGTTTCTAGGCACTGTTCATGTTTTGTGGACTAATTACCGCTTGTTACTGTTGTTGCTGTTGTTGCTGCTGTTGCAATTTCTGTTGCGGTAAATGTAAACCAACTCCTCCTGAAGATAGCGGCGCATACCATAATTTACAGGTAAAACATATTTCTAAAATTCTTATCCTTTTTAGAGAATAGGTTTTATACAAATTTTAATGCTAAATCTAGATATAAGAAAAAGCAGATTGTATTTATGATGATACATATATGATAAAAAAAATTTATCACATCAAGTGTAAACATAAATTCAATTAAGGAAATTAAAATTAAGTTATAAAAAAATTCTTATTTACATGTCATCATACCAAGCCAACTAAACAATTTTCTTCATTTTTGTCATTTTTCAGCAAATTTATCATTGATTTATAATATTTTAACTATTATTTTTGAAATAAATTAAAATTATAGTTTAAAAGATATAGATTTTTTTTATCAGCAGAAGTACAATATATTTAACGTCTAAAAATTGTTAGTTTTGATAGTTGTTTTCTGTACAGTTGAAAAGCATTTGATATAATTATATGCAAACTAGTTGCATATTATATCTCTATTTTCATTCTTACTTCATGTGCATCTTATTATTACTTTCTTTTACACATTATTCTTTCACATCTTTTGTTTTATTTTAATGTATAATAATATACAAAAAATTTGACAAACAGAAAACGAAATATAATGTTTTATGTATATTTTTTATATATTTATTCAAATTTAATACAAAATTTGCTCTTATGCATGTAATATTAAAAGAGCAAATTTTAATCAAATAACACATTACTCATAAATGCATGAAATCTATGCTGTGATAATACAAGCAATTGTTTCTGTTAATGTTTATGATTATCTTATATAAAGGAAAGAAAAAATATATGCTATAGATTTTTCGCATGTGTGATTTGCTCCATTACACATACATATACATACACATGTGCATTATATATATATATATATATATATATATATATATATATATATATTATTGTATTTCTTAAATTCTCCATTTGAAAATATTAATTGGAAACGTTTCAAATATCATACTTTTAATGTCTAATATCTATTGACTTTATGATTTTCCAAGAGTAAATTTAATTAATTTTCTATTCCCATTTTTTTAAATATCTACTTCTTCATATTTAACATTAAATATTATTAAAAATAATTAAATATTTAAATGCAGTTAAGGAATAAGAGTTCACATCAGCACATTTTATTGCTTTGAAATCTTTTGTTGACAATCGCTTTAAGATAAAAATTACTAACGTATTATGTTAAAACAAATTTAGTATTTTTAATCTTATCTGTAACTAATATCTTTAATTAACTAATATTTAAAAAAATAATACTTAGAAGAATATTCAAATCCTGCATTATAAACAACCTAATTTGGCTTATATTAATTATTGTTGTACATTAATTAAATAAAATACACGCATATTGTTAAATTTGAAAAATATGAAGATATAAATTTGTCTTATTCTTTTTACATTTATGCAAATTTCCGACATATACAGTTGGAAAACATATCAATGAGGAAAGAATATTTTACTATATATCTAATTGCGAAGACAAATGATTCAAGGAGCTCGTGCAACTTAAATATGATCAACCTATACATAAATGTTTGTATCCACCTTGAAATTGCAAGTACTATCTGTTGTCCTTTTCTTCATCGGACACTATAGATGCTTTATGACAACACAATTCTCGATGTTTTTAGCTATGAATATTTAATTTTATATTACACATACACATACATAAATGGTTTTAACATTATTTCTATTGTATTTGTATTATCAAAATAAGAAATTGTTTTGTATATAGCATGACACACAAAAAATCAAAATAAGAAATTGTTTTGTATATAGCATGACACACAAGAAATCTGATATTTTTCTATAAATATTTTTTGCAATATAATCTTAATTGTAATTATTACTTATTTGTTTAATTAGTTTTTTTATTTTCAAACAAAATTATGTATTTATTTTACAAATTCTGATATAGATATAGCTCATTGTATTATTTGTGTGGAACAGTTGTAAATAAAAAAATGCATAAACTTTTATGATTGTGCATGCCAAGTTATGTTTTGTTTTTTAGGAAAGCGTACATAGTTTAGCGGTTTTGTTTATGTTATTATTGTATTATAGCGGAACCCGAATCCAGAGGCTGTTGTGACAAATCAACCGAGAGGTTTTGGCAAGGTAAGATTTTTTAACGCTCGAAATTTTAATTTTATTCTTTCCTTTTGCTATATGATTAATCATAAATATTTTAATGCTTTTTATTTTTTTCTTATTAAAATATTTTGGAATGAATCTACACACAATACACATAAGTAGTTTTTGTACTAATATATTTTGTTATAATAACTGCGCACACTACTTTACCTCTGTGAGCAATGTGAAAGGTAAATTATTGTAGATCCCATATACTTTTATACAACATATTGCATAATATACTTGTAATTAATAGAAAATGCAATTCTCTTTAAAGATCCGTTAAGTTTATAACGTATTAATAATTTATAACTTACATAGAATTGTAATTTATACTATTTCTCTCATCATAGTTATTAAAATTAAAAGATATAAATGATTTTTAATTTTTTTACTCTCTGCAAATATATGACTCTTACGAAAAGTTATAAAGTATTCACATCTTTTTTCTAAAAATAAATACCAGTGAGTTACATGTATTATTTCAATAATATAATTCTAAGCATTTAAAATGTACATATTATATTATGCATCATGTTCATGAAAAAATAAAAAAAAAACAGCAAGTATAAATTTATTGGAAAATAACTATTCATTGTATTATAATTATGCTACAAGTTTGTCTATAATACTTAATGCATCCAGATCGGAAAGTTTTACAAAATTATGTTGCTTTGTTATGCTTCTATATTGCTCATTTTTTAATCATTTCTTCTGCTGATGTAAAAACTTTGATTAAATTTCCAGTATATGTGATTTATATATTATATAAAATATTTATATATTTATTTGTTATGAAAAATCCATCTTTCCTTTATATATTATCCTTTTGCAAATCAACCAACCAAATTAATGAAGGGTAAATATTGTTTAAATTGTAAAAGTAAATATATATATATATATATATAGAAATTAAAGTTGACTTGGTATGATCATAAAAGTGAAATAAAGATACTATACACACATATACATATACATGTATATTGTATATGGACATGTATATACACAGACACACATATTATATCTATATAGTATTCGAAAATATAAAATATAAGAAAGCATATATACACATACATGTATATAGATGGAATATTCCATAACCGGTGATGATTCTATATGAAGAAATAAGTCCAAGATATCTTTTTTGAAAAAAATTCATTCTACATTATTGATTTCTTTATTCTTGTAAAATTATATGCTTCTGATTGTATTATCGGTATTATACAGAATATCATGTGTATACAGGATATTTGATAAACATTGAATCAAGACTCGTGAGGGATAGAATGAAGTAAACTGAATAGAAAAACCCTTTACCATTTCGCAATTTCCATAATAATTATTGCGATATTAATTAAAAAAGATTGACGAATAAGCGCACTTTTCGCACGGCTAGACTGTTGAATGTACTCTAGGTATGTCAGCGACAAGTGTCACATAGTAACGAAAAATTTAGCCGTTTCCTTCTTTTTTTTCGTTGGCGTACGATACTCATCGCTGACATACCAAGCCAATATTCATAATCCTTTCTTATTTTAAGATCGTTTAAAATAATGTCTTAAGATGCTAATTCAATTCTATAATTGATATAATATCTTAAGATTGTAAAAGTCTTAAATATAAAAATGTACTATCAATACCGGCCCCTACACATCTCGCAATTTAGCCATGCGAAATGCGCGTTTCGCCAATCTTTTTTAATTAATATTTCAACAATTATTGTAAAAATTGCAAAATGATACAGGACTTTTCTATTCGGTTTACTGCGCTCTCTTATCCGCTCGCAAACGTTAGTTCAGTCTTTAGCAAACATTCTATATATGTATACACACACACACAGTGTGTGTCCGATCACATCTCGTATATTTGAAATTTAATATATTTAATGTATTTTCTTCACAAATAATAGAAAATTATTATTCATTTTTTAATCTTATAATAATAAATAATTACGATTACTTTTTTGCACATAATAATTTTTTTTAGCAGTTAAAATACTGAATATAATAATAATAAAACTAATAATAAAATAATAGAAAAAAACAATCTTTTCTCACGTTTTCATCTTAATAAAAGATTCGCCTCTGGAACAATCAAATATGAATCTGTTCTATTCTACTTACTATTTCATTTCTACCTTTTTCATATAATTTTGAAAACATTTCATTCAACTATTTCATTTCTACCTTTTTTATATAATTTTGAAAACATTTAAATGAACATAATTTTAATTTTTAATTCTGTAAATTTAATTAAAATGTTTCTAAAATTATAAAAAGATAGAAACGAAACAATCAAATTCATATTTGAGATTGTGCCAAGTAGACTCTTAATTTAATTAATTAACTATTTTGAAATATTTAATTATGTATCAATGTGAAAAAATTTCGTATTACAATATTTGTTATTTAAAGAAATAATAATCGAGATATCTATTTTCTCCAAAGGTGAATTTTTTATTAAGGAGAGAAAGGACGAAAATATTGCTTTTTTTTCTACTATTATTTTATAATTATTACTTTTACTATTATATATATTCGATATTCTAATTGTTAAAAAATTATATATAAAATTATGTGCAAAAATTTATAATTATTTATTATTACCATAAATTAAAAAATGAATAACAATTTCTATTATTTGTAAAAAAAATATATAAAATACATTTCAAATTAGTTAAATCATTTTCATGGATATATAAATCATCTAACAGAAAATTACATGTTATATGTATTTTTCGATATTCAAAATGTGCATTCACAGGAGGATGAAAGTGATGATGATGCTGTGACAGCTCAACCTCAAAGTGGTGCATCGCAAAACGCATCTAATATACAGCAACCTATATTTGCCATGCCTGCACCAGGATCAGCGATACCGGCGTCAACAGTTAACGAAAGCACGAATCTAAACAGCGGCGGTGAACGCGTGATTTATACCACTGGTATTACGAGTTCTTGAATGTAGAAAGTGCATATTATGAGTTGTTACCTTCCATACATTGCCATTAATTATTCAGTTCAATATCAGTTTAATATTTGCTTTTTTTCTTTTTACTAATTCTTTTTGTTAATTGTTATAATATATTTTATACACTTTCATATTGATGACGATTTTAGCACATCGAAAAAAATTATGCTAAAATAATTTTTGGATTATACAATTATTTTAAAAAATCTAAATTAAATATAGATTTATTGTGTAAAATTATGTATATAAACTAAAAACCTGATGTTAATCATAAGTCCTTTTTTTTTCTCATATTTCAATGAGTAAAAGAAGTAAAATTTTAAATTTTTTGGAATTCTACTTGAATTTTTTAAATTAAACCACTGTTATGATTTCTTTTTAGTTTAAAACAAATTTGTCCACCGATTGTTCTTTAAATAATTAAAACTGCATTGAAAAAGTAACATGTTTTATAGCTCATATGTCTTTAATATTACAAAAAGATATCACTAAAATGAAAAGACGCCAACATTTCATTTCTGTAGTGATAAATGATAAATAAATAATATATATAATATTTGAAATTTTTCAAAAGAACTTTGCTTACAACTTTGACGGGATGTTTTGCACATTTTTGTGACAAATGATAACGTATAAATGTATGTTCCAATTAGTTTAATTGTATCCCAGGAACCACACACAATTTTATGCCAATATATGCGTATATCATGTGTATGTTTATTTATATATATATATATATATATATATATATATATATGTATATATGTATAAATGTGTGTGTGTGCGCGCGCGCGCGTGCGTGCGTATGCGTGTGCGTGCGTGCGTGTGCGTGTGCGTGCGCATGCGTGCGTGCGTACGTGCGTGTGGATATATATTTTAAATTCTCATAAATATAATGTGGATATATATTTTAAATTCTCATAAATATAACACGAATATATTTCCCGCCTTCTCAGCATTTTTCATATAAATTATTTTTTTACTTACTCTCCAAATTGAAAGTGAATCAAGAGGCTTTTCATTTTTTATCTGTAAAAATCAAGCTTTCTTAAAAATTATTTAAATCTAATTTTATTTATCCTCCTTATTAAAATATGATATTTTATGAAATTTTGTAGAAAATTTTATGCACTTATAAGATATTTAATACAATTTCGCGAATTATCAGCATGTAATATCTGCATGTAATTATACAGATTATAATAATAATAGAAATTGCGAGATATGCATTTCTATTCATAGAGTATATATGTCATACTTGATTACTTAACGTTTAATAATTATATAAATTTATTCTACAAATATATTGATAATAATAAAATAAATAAGGAGTGTTCTAACGACTTGCTATGACTAATATAATATTTTAATGTAGCGGCTGCTACAAATCCATTTATAGGAGCCAATGCAGCTTCAACTGATACCGGACCATCCAGATGGTAGACTGAGCACATGGAACATTATGGACATTCAATTTATATTTCTTATAGTGTCGGATCTTTATAATAGCTCATTATTAATATAGATCATTGTTTTGATAATGTATAGATGCTGCAGTTAGTTTAATATAATAACTCTTCTTTTTCTTTTTTTATGTTGTTTCTTTATGTGCAAAGTCTTTATTGTTTTTTCTAATTATTTCCTTTTTATTGTATTCAATATGATATATATGCGCATACACGTGTATATATATTATACATAATTATTAGATTGTATTTATTTTAATGGTCTCGACTTTAATATATCCTGCACGATTAAGAAACTATAATTTCTTAACTATTGATAAAATACATTCTATATTTGAATTTTTCAAACTCTTAAAGTATTTTTCTTTTTAAATTCTTTTTTTATAAAATAATTAATGCATATATGCATTAATTTTCTAAATATTTTATAAAAAAAGAATTTGTATGTGTGTGTGTGTGTGTGTGTGTGTGTGTGTGTGTGTGTATGTGTCTGTGTGTGCAGAATATGAAATAAGATGGAGCCTTGCTAAAAAAGATATATAAATTCTTATACTAACAAGATATGATCATTCTTTTAATCAATCGAAAACATGATCATCTCTTTTACTTCCTCAGAATATATTAGCATAATTAAAATTATTGACATTTTAATCTAAACATCTGTCTTGAATCAATTTTTTAAGTTATGTAATTATTTTACAGTGATAATGATAATTATGCAAAAAATGTAGAAAATATGAAAATATCAATAGCAGAAATGTATTTTGATTCTTTTCAAGTCTGCTATTCTCAATGAAATCTTAATTATTATAAAGTTGTATGATATTTGGCATTTATTTCAAATATTGATAAACTGCACGTTTCTATTACTTTTCAACTTTAGTACATTTAAAAATAATTTTTTTCAAAATTTTTTAAATTTCACCTTGATCTTAGTAATTGTTATATATATTTATCATTGAACTTTTTATTAAAACATTGTAACAAATTGTGTAAAATTACACGAAAAAAGTTCAATTTATTAATTTAAAAATCTTAATTGAATTAATTAATTCAAAAATACAATTATACTATTGATCTCCTATATTTTGCGATGAACTTTATTGTTATTAGTTATTGATATTGTTAATGATAGTAAAGATTAATGATTGCAAATATGCTTATATAACTAATCCTAATTATGAAAATTTATATAAAAAATCTCTGTTGCGATATAATTGATATATCTATTAAAATATAAACTGTGAGTTAAATTTTATGTTATACATCTGTGACATTTAAGTGACATACCAAAAGTATTATCATTTATTTGAATATTTAATAATCGATCGTAAATTTAGTTTAATTTAGAAATTTATTATATTTTACTGGTTTTATTTATTCCATTTTAATTTTCTAAAAATAACGTTTTTATTTTGGACATTGGGATTAATCTATGGTATAATTTGGTATTTAGTAAGTTTAATTAATATTCACGAATTCTTCTTTCTTTGAGAGAAAATATTGAATAGAATATAATCAAACCATTAATATCAAGAATATAATAAAATAAACATTGAGTCTTTGATCAGGCAAAACAAGATTTTTTTAAAAATAATTCATCTGCACATTAATGAATATATTGAGAATTACAATTACATAATATATATATAAACACAGAGTGATTCGTTCAAATCATTTATTCCAGTAATTTTGTATTTAATACCACTAGTCAAAAAAATTTGTTTGGACAAAACTGTTAAAATATAAGTCATATTGTTATCGTTAGAAACAGTTTTGCTCTTAGAGAGATTCAGAGTTGTATATTTCGTCAGCCATACACATAGCGTATTGACTATTATATGAAGATGAGAAAGAATTACAACGCCTTGTGGTGTAATGTATTTGATAATATTGTTTAGATTTATCTCTTTTCACGCATAATTTCTCCACTTTGTAAAAAGTATAATCCCATGTATATCAATGTATCGCTATGTATGTATGTATGTATCGATTAATTTGAATATTTACGCCGCATCGATTAAATGATGCAAGTATGCCTACAATAAGATTTCTTTAATTATAAATATTTATCTGTATTGTCCAAATGTGTGATTATGTAAATGACAAATATATTGTCAATCTACAAGAATATTTTCAGGACTTTTAACGGTATAAACGATAATATGTAATTTATATTGTAACGTAAATGTATGAGAGATAAATCAATTGAACGTAACATGAAAAAGCCGCCTGAATTTTTATAGAACGTATATAGATATCTGCGAAATAATTTCTATTAAGTCTATTCAAATATAAACCTTTAAGTATCTTGGAGTTCTTCACTGCGATTATATCGAATGATATCGAAAAGAGAGAAATCATGGAAAAATCTCTTCCTTTTATTATTTTATATTAATTGGCGTATATACAATTTAGTTTATTTTATACACTCTCACATTTGTATCTTACATTTTCAACAAATTTTTTAGAGAGTAAAATGATATTTTTTAATTGAATTTTATTTCTCAATAAATGTACATTTATTTAGTTACCTATTTATTTTTTTAATAATTTATTCATCTGTGTGTCGTGCGCGCACACAGAATCAATGTATCTTTATACCGATGTCATAAATACAGAACAGAGTAAAATTTTTTGGGGAGCAAAGTAAAATAAATTATTATACATTGAGATTGTTAAAAGATAGTTCAGATCCTGATAAATATGTATATTGCATTATTTTGCTGATGTAATTACAATTTGCATCATCAAGCATAAGATACACGAAGATCTTTTATCTAGTATAAAGATAAAGAGATCATTCTTTATTTGCATTCTGTATACTTGTTATATGAAACTTTAACAAAAAATATTAAATGGATAAAATGTCGATCACAAAACAGATAATTAACTCTTTGATAGACTTCACGGTTTTCAAAATTTACACAATAATCAATAGAAAAATATTATATATGTATTCGTAACTCCAGAAAACACAAAGTAATATAACATAACATAACATAACATAACATCAATGTTATAATTTTCTACTCAACAATGTAACTGCAAGATAACATGCCTCATATAAAACAATTACATTGTTGAATGAGAAATTATAACATTACTGTTATGTTACTATTACTTTGTGTTTGCTGAGAACGTATGAGATTCTCATAATGTTAAATATCTATATGCGCAGTTAATCTTAAATATTTATATGCATTTATTCAGTTGCCTATTTCACAATATTTTCAATCACGATCACATACAAATATTCAGAAATATTATATAGATGTACGTAATTATGTTTATTATATATAAAGTACTTCTATATTTAATGTTCCATAAATATATCATGTTTACATGATTGAATATACATATAAAAGCATAATTATTACAACTGATAATGTTGTATTTAAAAAAAATAATTATTGTAAAGTTAACATTGTGTAAAATATAAAAACTGTAAATAAATTAGATTAAACTATTGAACAAAATATATTTCGTATTTCGTATGCTTGCAATTTTTTCTGTTGATTTAAAATATTATTAGAATTAAAGATTAAATTTAAAAAAATACAAGACTTTATTAATAAATAAAGTTATTTTGAGTATTTAATTTTTAAAACTACATATGTAATAACTTATTAGTGTATATTCATAATACATATGTGTACAATAGTACACATGATACATAAAATTTAATCAATGATGAGTAACTTAAGATTCTTGTTTTCTCACTGCATTAAATTATGTTGTCAAAAGAGATTCTGCGAATTTCATTCTTGTAATCGAAATAAATTAGTTTTTTTCGTATATTTCCGTTCGATATATAATTATGAATTTGTAAAATAAATCAAATGCTCTTTTTTTGCATTAGTCGTAAAAAAAACTCATACACACACACACATATGTATATGTATGTATGTATTTGTGTATGTGTGTGTATATATATATACGGGGTGTAACTTAAGAAGCTTCCAATAAGCAAATACAGTTATTCGCGATTAAAAGTCGGATCGAAAAGTCCTGAACCATTTTTTTTTATAATGCTTAATAGGCCGTAATTATTATTATTGAGTAAAGTCGCACCAATTAGCATCGATCTTTAGCCGGGCGCGTAAGTAAGATTTTTTTATTTTTAATAACATTATTTGCTTAGTGAGAGCTTTTTAAGTTACACCCTGTACGTATGTATATGTGTGCGTGTGTATGTGTGTGTGTGTGTGTGTGTGTATTGCAAAAAAAGATTTGATATTATTTTTAATGTTGTAATTCAATATTGCAGTATACCAAAGATTGTAGTATACATCATATGTCAGAAGCTATTTTCCTATTTCACTCATTTTTTTTGCTGTATTTTAAAAAATTTTTTGTCACCAACGTTGAATAATCCGTGCAGAATGTTCTTGTTTTGTAAACGTAGGAAAAAACCGTTTACGGAAATGTATTATTCACATTTTTTCTTTTTGTTCGGTTGAAATATACTTCTTGTCGTTTCATCTTTTTCTATAATTTAAATATATTGCACAATAATAATCTAATAGTTTTAAAGCAAATAGCACATATGTATACATAATGCACACGAATTATCTAGGCAAAAATTACCTCTAACGTATGTTTCTCCAGCTTATCATATTTATATGCTTCATTGAGTTCCTCCAGTATTCGATATCTACTACCAATTTCTATGTCATATTTAGCTATTATTGCCAATAATTTTGATTCAATTGTCAATCTATACAGGCAATGATTACATAATTACAGGGTGTTCTATTTTAAATAACGCATTGATATTTCTCCAAGACTTTCATTAAAAAATGTTTCGTACAAAAGTTTTGTAATCTCGAGGGGAACATAAGATAATACATTGGTTTGATCTTTGATGAAGGTCATGAGGTTTAAAATCATTTTTATTTTTTGTAACCATTCTAATTTGTTTGTATAAATCGATTCTTCACAGTATTCCATGTAAAAAGTTGAAAGTATAGGATAGCCAAAAGTTGAAATAGCTTACGAGATAATTTTTATTTTAAATTGATATAATTTCACATAAACTATAAAATATCTCGTAAAATATATATTTTTCGATTATCTTATCTCAATTTATTTTGATTATCTTATCTCAAC